GGCTCACGGGTCTCCCTCCTCAACCTCTCCCAGACAAACACAGGACAGTCCTGCTTCAGCCTCTGGTGACAGCTGGCCTACAGAACAGAGCACAACCCACGAGTTACAGCATGCCATGGCCCTCCCTACGCTGCCCCCAGCCCAACCCCTGCACAGCGATCCCCAGGGCCTCAGCCAGGGCACAGGCAAGTTCCTCAACCACTCAGAAAGGCCCAGCTCCCCGGCCACCTTCCGTGTGAAGCCTTCCCGGCTCTCTCCCCTCGACCCTCTGCTTGCTGAGCAGAGCTCGTTACTCTGCACTCAGAAAGCTCTCAGTATGGACCTCTAGGTACATAACACACAGGGTTATAATTACACGTTCCCAAATCTGTCTCTTCCAGGAGTCTGGGAGTCCCTCAATGCCACTGACCAAGTCTTATCCATCTTTTGAACCCTTAGTGCCTAGCACTGGGCAAATAAGAGGTGTTCACACAATATTTACTGAGCAAATAAATGCCCCCCATTCTAAGGGGCTACCCAAAACAAGCTAGTGACCAAGCTCTCTAACTGGTAACTCAAGCCTGTGCATCTGCGTACGTCTGTGTGGGCACGTGCACACACACAGAGAAGGTGGAGGTGTTGGGGGCCCCAAGGCTGCTGTGCTCAGCTCTTCCAGGCATCTGTGAAGCAGGCCCCTTTCCTAGGTTCACAGGGAAGAAAAAGCCCCAGCTGGACAGAGAGCTTGGCCGGGCTGGTCTGGAAACCCACACATCAGGGCAAGCCTGGGGGGCTGAGGAAACACTAAGAGGTCTGACTTCCCCTGGAAAAACTAGTCAGACAGGAAACGCACAGGCGAGGATGGCTAGCTCTGGAGATCCGGACATGTGCTCTCACCCCTCTCCCCCCGGGAGCAACCAGCCAGCACAAAGAAAATCCCCAATGATACAGGCCTGCCCTCCTCAGGCACCTTGGGCCCAGCCTTCAGGGCTGGCCCTGTGGTCTATCTCCTCAGCAGTCTGACAGCCACAGGGGTCAGGCCTCAGACAGCTGGTACCAATGTCACCTACCCTGTGAGCCTGACTGCCTTGTCCAGGCGGTTTGCGTTCTTCTGCCACCCCCCACCCCTGGCATCAAAGGTACCATTCCATTGTCCCCTTTAGTTTCCCTAAGGGCAAGGGCCTGTTTTCATTCACCACCTGAGAAAGCCTGGCGTCTAGAAGGGTGTCAATGTAAGAATCAAAGACGAAAGGCTGGGGCTGCAAAAGTTCCCACAGATACGCTTGGATGGCACTCAGAGCCCACCATGGAGCCTCCACCCGAGCCACTGTACCCACAATGACCCTTGACTGAACCTCTCATCCCAGAAGGCACCAGAGGGAAAAGTGTAGAGCCAGAGCCTAGAGAGGCTGAGGCTGTCTGTAAGGAACAGTCTGAACACAAAGGTTTCTCCTCAGAGGAGCAACGCAGACCACAGAACGGGGGCCTGAGACCACTCACAGCACAATCCCGGGGCTCTGAGTCCTTTTGGGACTGGCCGACCAGCCACTGACTGGAGAGCCGGGTCCAACTGAGGCTGTCACATGGCAGCACAATTCACTCCCTACATTTCTATTTCCTCATCTGTAAAGTGGGGTGGTACTCCAGGCCCTTTAGAGGATAAACCAAGAAAACATGATGAAAAGTCTCTGTAGCACTCAGCAGGAGGTCTGTAATTGCTTTGTGCTCATTTAAGTCAGTATCTGTACCATAAAAAGCCCAACGTTGACCTGGTTCCTGTCACACCACCGTGACAACCAGCACCAAGGCACTTCCCCACCCCTCTTTTAAGCCAAACTCCCACTGGAGAAGTGAGCACCTGCCAGCCCCGTCTCACAAGTGCAGGATAAAGTGAGAGGGCACAGAGTTAGGCCAGAATGAGGTCCTGTACATAAGCGGTCCCCAAACTTTTTGGCACCAGGGACTGGTTTCGAGGAAGACAATTTTTCCACTGACGGGGGGCGGGGGCGTTTCAGGCGGGAATGCGAGCGATGGGGGTGGGCAGCAGATGAAGCTTTGCTCACTCGCCCACGCTCACCTCCTGCTGTGCGGCCCGGTTCCTGACAGGCCGAGGACTGGTACCAGTCCATGGCCCGGGGGTTGGGGACCCCTGCTCTACATGAGTGCCGGGCACTTTCATTGAACCCCAGTCTCTCCTCAGGGCCACGGACACCCTGAGGGTCCCAGAAGTGTCTCTCTCTCTTTGGCCAGGTTACAGGGTCAGCAGGAAAAGGCCAGACGGCAAGGGGCCCTGCTGGGAGTCTAAACTTCCTCAGAACCTACAGAGGGGGGCTGCAGGGATCGGAACCCCACAATGAGGTGCACCCATGAATAGGCAGCAATGGGGCAGCTTCAGCATGAGGCTCTGTTTGCAAGGTCTGAACTCCACATGAGTGTCCATTAGCCTTTTCACCCGGAATCCTTCAACCCGGGCCTCCAAAATCAAAGGGCCAGGGCCCCTTCCACATCCTTTGCCCACGTTCCAGGCCTCTCAAATCCCAGCTAACTGATGAGATCACTGAATTTGTACCTCTCTGGCTGACCCACCATTGGGGGCTGGGGTCATCGGGTCCTCTGCATTCCTGCCTCCATCCCCAAACACCTGAGACATCGTGGACTAGCCTCTTGCCTCTCCACACCCATTCCTTCTGTACATGCCCCAACGTACAAACGAGAAAGCTACCCACTCATGAGCCAGATGCGCATATCTCCTTATACTTACTCTATCCACTGTTCTACGTGGTAGGTGGGCAGCTGAGTAGTTGGGTCAGGGCAAAACAAAACCATATCCTCCCATCTCCGGGTAGTGATCTCAGTGAAGTGGGAACTGGGGCCCCATCCTCCTCCCTTCCGACACCCTCACCCTGTGTGGCTCTTCTGCAGCCACACAGTCCCAGTCCAGGAGAGCAGTCATACTCCATTATTGTTACCATTAATAACGGCTTACACTTATTAAACATTTACAATGTGTCGGGCACTGTGCTAGCTGTTTTAATCTTCTCATTTAACCCCCAGAGCAACAAAATATAGTGGATGTATTATTACTCCCACTTCGCAGCTGAGGAAACTAAAGCTCTGAGAAGTAGCTAGCTGCAGGGGATACACAACTAATATACACGGGCTTCAAATCCAACCCTGCCTTCAACCACTGTGCTGCACTTACTGCCTGCTGGTCACGAGCACGGTTTGAAATGCAGTTTGTTACCTAGGAGAAGTCTATCTGGGAACCTCCAGCCCGTGCTACCAATTCAGGAGAGCGAGCACACAGAGCACCACAGAAACATGGAAGGGGCTGCGCCTGGAGTCTGATGCCTGGGTGATGTTTCCAGGGCCATCCCAGCTCTCTGCAGTGTCTGTCCTTCCTCCACTTTGGAATCCAGTCTCTCAAATAACTAAAATTTTCTCCCAATGCCTGACAGGGCCGACGGGGGCACCGAGGAAGGTGGCTGCCGTGTGGAAGTTTGGCAGCTGTGTCAGATCTGGAGTTTGTAGTTGAGGACGGCTGCCTCACCATAAGACCTTCCTTCCTCCCAATCTTCTCAGCCATCTTCAGGCAGGTACACCACAGCCAAGGAGGTCTGTGGGACCTTCCTTGGGGGTGTCACTTCCTGAACCCACTTCCTACACATGGACCTAATTCTGAACCTGGCTCTAACATCAGTCTCTGGGGGACTTTGCAGGAAGCAACCCCACAGCCTGGGGTTGCAGACAAATCACCCCTCACACTTGGAGGTGGGGGAACGGAGAGCAGAGCTGGGGGCCCATCCGGCCACAGCACAAGCACGCGCTCAGTGGAATAACACTCTGAAGGATTTGGGGTTTTTCAAAATCCCCCACCTCCCTCCTTCGCAAAAGCAGCCAAGGTCAGGCCTGGGAAGGCAAAGAGGCAGGAAATCAAGAGTAGCCACTCCTGGTTCCCTCCAGCTACGGGACACAGGCCACAGGACACAAAGGGCTAGACCCCAATTTGGCTGCGTGCTCTTGAACAGTACCTGACACAAAGCAGTGAGGCTGGCCTCCTGGGAGCCAAGCTCTTGAGAACGTGCATCCAAGGACAAGGGGAGTCTGGCCCCTCTCCATGCCCCGGCTTTGGGTATCTGCCCACGCACACAGACCTCCAAAATTCAGCTTCGGGACAAAAGCGGCGGGAAAAAGCAGCCACTGCCTCCCCTCAGGCTTTTCCAAACCGAACAGGACCACCTTCCTCCCTCTCCCCGTGACGGAGATGCATAGGCCCGGTTCCGCTCCAAAACCAGCCCTCCCGTAGCAACTGCCTAAGTCCTACCCAGGGAACCCAAAGGTTCCGTTCCAAGTATGAGCCCAGCCAGGAGGCCCAGAGTTTCGCGGAGGCTGCTCTTTTTGGAGAAAGGGCGCGCATCTGGTCTGGCCCCGGTTCTGGGGCTGGCAGGGGGCACGCTGCCTCGGCTCCCGTCGCCTCGGCCGACACCGCTCCCGGGCTGTGGGGGACTAGACGCCGGCCTCGCTGGTCTCCAACCCGCTAGGATTTTTAGGCCTCTGGGCAAAGAGCCTGGAACACGCCCCCCGGCTGGGGGAGGGGGTGTCCTGTCAGGTGACTGAGGACCCGGATGCCCCCCGCCCCCGGTGACCACCCGGGCCGAGGCGGGGGCGGGGCCCACAGGGTGTGGGGGGGAAAGCCCGAAAGTTTGCCCAAGTCTCTCTTCAGCGGCGGCCCGAGGAGCGCGGGAGCCGGGCGCAGACCACCGCCGCCCCCGCGCGCGCTGCGGGCCCCAGGGAGGGGGGCGCACTTACTGGCCCCCTCGATCTTGTCGGCGCCACGGCTCCACGTGATCTGCCGCGTCTCCAGCTTGACCTGGAAGGTCTTCCGCTCGGGCCGCTGCGACTTCTTGGAGTAGAACAAAGTCATAACGGTGCCCACCTCGAGGCTGCGGCAGAGGTGCAGCACCTCGGCGTCCGAGGGCGCGCCGGGCCCGCAGCCGTTGGCGCAGGGGGACGCGGCGCCCGCCATGGCTCCGACGCTGGGGGTGGCACAGGCTGCCGCGGCGCAGGCCCGCCGGGAGCGAGCTGGCGGCGGCGGAGGCGGCGGGCGAGCAGACCCCGGCGGCGGCTCCTGCGGGCGGAGACGGGGCGGGGCCTGAGCGGGGGGCGGGGCGGCCTTGCAGGCCCCGCCTCGGCCCCCGCGCCTGGAACAAAGGCGCCCGCGCGCCCGTGGGGAGGACCCCCGCCCGTCGCCCGCCGCCGCGCCCGCGCCTGCGCCTGCGCCCAGCGACCCCCGGACAGGCCCCAGCTGGGGGCGCGCGCGCCGCCCGCGGTCGACCTGCCAGTCCCTCCGTCCCGCAGAGCTACCTCACGCGGCCCCGGACACAGCCTGGCGGCCACGGCCGGCCCCGTCACGCGCGGCAGCCTCGCGCCGGCCCGGCCGTCAGTCGCACACACCGGCTGCCCAGCCCACTGTCCCGCACAGGCCCGGCCGCAGCAGTTCCCTCAAGCCCGCCTCCGGAGCGCCGCCCGCGCAGCGACCGGGAGGAGAGGTGAGGGTGCGGAGCGCCCCCCGGGCCCGCCAGCCAAACCCAGTACCTGGGCGGGCTGCCCAGCGGAGGGAACCAGGCCAGGCCGCCTCGCCTCACACCCGCGGCGGCGGCGGCGGCGGAGGCGGGTCCTCCGCGCTCCATCTCTGGGGAGGGGAGGGGGCGGGGCCTCCTGCGGATTGGTCGTCAGGCTCTGACGGACAGCCGGCCTGTCCCGTCTTTCCCCTCTGGCCGCCCAGGGCCGGCCCGCGGGCAGCTCCTAAGATTGTTGGACCCACGTTTGTCCCGGCCCAGTGGCCAGTGTGGCCTTGGGGGGTCCCGTTATTCGGAGTAGTACTCCAGGCCTGAGCATCCACTGCAAGTCCTCCCGTGGTCTTCGCCTCTGTCCCTTGCCTGGACCAGTGTTTTCCGCACCGCACGCTGCGTCTCCACGCGGCAGGACGCGGGCTCAGGCCCTACCTCACTGCGCCCCTCCTGCAGATGCTCTCCGGAGCTTTGGTTTTCCCGGCCCGACTCCCCCTGTTTTCCTCCTCCCTCTCTGGCCGCTGCCTTTCGACCTCCAGAAGCTTCTCTTCCTCTGCGGTGGGTCCTGAGTCAGTTCCCAAGGCGACCTGACCCTTCCCATGGCGTCACCCCCCCGTCCCCCCTCCCCCGCCAAACCCAGGCACCCTAGTGCCAAAGCTGGATCTCCCCCACATCCAACTACCTGCTCCACGTCCCCACGTAACACAGACATCTCACCTCCCTCTTCAAATTGCTTCTCCCATAGCCTTCACATTGTCAGAACGTGGCATTAAACTCCTCTAAGATGCTTGGGCCAAAACCATTGGAGATACCCTTGATTCCTCTCTCTGCCTAAACCCCCCAGCAATCCATCAAGTCCAGTTCACTCTACCTTGGGATATCTCCGCTCCACCCACGAGCTCAAGGCCCAACTTCTCTCAGACAGACTCTTTAGCCTCCTTGGTCTTGCCTGCATCTATTCTCTATGCTCTAGTCTTTAAAATGAAATTAAATCATGATTCCCTACCTCCAGCCTCAAACCATTCATAACTTCCCACGGCACACTCTCCCTACCTGGCCCAGCAGGTCTTATGTGGTCTGGCCCCTTTCTCACCCATTTCATCTCTCACCACCTCCCCTTCAATCCATTCTGCAGCCACAAGGCCTTTTGTTGGTTATTTGAATAATTCCCACTCTTTGTCTTCCAGCAGCCACTCCCTAGACTCACCCCTGCAATCTAGCTGCCCCTGTCACAGAACACCGCCCAAACTAAAGACACCTGCGGCCACAGTGGAGCCTGTCTGACGGATGTTGAGCCAGGCAGAGCCAGACAGAGCAGGACAACGTACTGCACGTCAGAGGTAAGAGGCTCAGCAGAGCACCCAGCTGATGCTAGAGATAGATCCAGGCTTCCAGGAATGTGTGAGTACATATACGTGTGTGTTCAGGCTTTCCCCCCATCTGGGTGGTGACTAGTGTCTGGGGCTACCTCTGACTTTGTCTTGCTGTAGTGGTAGCATGTGTGTGTGTGTGTTTTGATCCCCTCAAGTGCAACCCCCAAGGAGCTGAGAATTCAGCCTGCAGTTGAGGCGTTTGTGCTAGTAGGCTTCAGCTACCCAAGGGGAGGTGGAGTGGCTGAGATGGACTGCCACCTAGTGACAGGCCTTTAAAGTAGGAGGGAGGGAATGAAAGTTGACCCAATGCCCGGCCCAGCATTACAAGGTTTACAATATGTTGTCACACCTGATCCTCATAATTACTCTAATCAGGGATGATTGTTCCCAATTTACTGATGAGAAACTGAGATTCAGAGAAGTTCTACAGCTTGCCCCAAGGCCACATAACTAACAAGTGGGGATTTGAACCCAAATCTGTCTGATGCCATGCATTTTCTGCCTCACAGGAAAGCCACTGGCTTCAGTAGGTGCTGGTGGTCAGTGGACAGTGAACACGGAGGCTAGCTGGCTGATCAGCAAGGGTGAGGGGAGGCCCTGGGCACAGGAAACCTGAGTGCAGAACTTGAGTGCTCACAGCGTGTGGTTTGGGCTTGCTGGGGCTTGAAGCGGTGCTTGCCCCTGTCTGCGGCCTTGAGCTTCTCTGTGCTAGGTGTCGGAACCATGAGTCAGGAGAACAAGAGAAACTCAGCACCAGCGCCCCGGGAATTCACAGACATTAGACAAACACTTTGTTATGTAGGGACAATTATCATGGAGGCTATGGAGAAAAAGAACAGAGGACTATGAGCTAAAACATTAGGGAGACTTACTTGAGATCTAGTAGACAAGAAGACATCAGCAGAGGCCTAAAGGATGTGAGGAGATGGCTGGGTGAATTATTAGAGGTGGGTTGGAGGAAAGTACTTTCCAGGCAGAGGTAACAGCATGTACAAAGGCCCTGAGACCAGAAAGAGCTTAGTAAGTTTAGGAATAGAAAGAGGGCTAGAGTTTACTAAGTGAGAGGGAACACGGGAGGTGATGAGGCCAGGAAGACAGGTTGGGGCTGACTGGGCCCCTCCCTGCTTATCTGATCTAATCCGTTTTTCCAGGAGGCCTCCTAAGTGCTGCAGCCCTCATTTACTTCTTGGGCCAACTTGGGCAGCCTGTGGGTGGTGATGCTTTTTAAAAATCTCCATTTTTCCATTTTCTGAGAGCTTCCTGACATGTAGCCCATGCTTCCTTGCTTTTGCTTTTACTTTTGCCTCTGGGTCCGGGCCTCCGGGGGCTCCAGAAATCCCTGCCAACAGGATCTCAGGTTTTCAGTCTGCTGCCAGGCTCTTAATCAGGAAACAGGGCCCCATTTTCTCCTGGGACTTCTGAGCCAGCATCCCAGGTCTCAGGTGCCTCCCTCCACCAAAGTAGGTTCAGGAAAAGCAGGGTGTGCAGAGGGTGTGACTAGTATGGGCTTCCCCCAGCTCAGCATATATATGGGTACGTGGGTGTTACTGGCAGTGCCTGCAGCTGCGCTGGCTGGGAGGGAGCAGCCCAGCACCCACGCAAGGCCCACACAGATGACATCACCAAAGCTAGCCCGGCTTGGGCCTATTTCTGTCAACACTCATGCTTCAGCATGCTCCGGCTATGCCAGTACCTGTGCCTGGAGTTTGGAGGGGGAGTCCCAGCCGAGTTGCCCCTTTGGCCTTGTGGGCCTGACCCCACAGGTGTTTATTTAGCAAACACTTAGAACAGCACTTGGCATGTAGTATAACTGCTTTACCCCCATTGGCTCATTTACTCTTCATTACAGCACTGAGGTAAGTTCTCTCATTATCCCCATTTCACAGAAAAAAAATTGAGGCATGGAGAGGTTGAGAGGCATACTCGTGGACACATAGCTAAGAGGTGGCAGAGATGGGATTCAGACCCATCCAGAGTCCATGCTGTGTTGCCTTCCATGTAGGTATGAACATTTTATTTTGTTTTTTTACCCCTTCCTTAATACCCATACCTGATGTGTTTTCTATTTTCAGTTATTTGGTTAAATACTGTTACAGGCTGGGTTCTTTGGGAAGCAGGCTTTGTGACAGAGGTTAGTGTGCAGAACATTTTTTAGGGAGTGCCCTTGGGATCAACACTGGAAGGGAGGGAAGGAAACAGGAGGGGACGCAGGGAGAAGTTAAGCTGTGATTCAGGCCTGGTGACAGCCTCAGCCAGCCCCCCAGGGAGCTCTACTGCAGCACCTCAATAAGCCATTGAATGTGGGCTGTCTTGGGAAGAGCACAGCCTCGGCCAGACAGCTGTCTGCAGCCACGGTGGTCTTAGGGAGCTGACAGGTTTCCCGGAAACAAGTGCTTCCTTGAAGGGGAATCTGAGTGGTACATCACTGTGCCCATCACAGATGTCTTCTTTCTAGTCTTTTAAGTACTCGAAACATTTCTTAAAAGGCAAAAATATTGTACTGTAGAAATGGGATATGCTGTTATCCGAAGGAGGAATGTAATTTGGTTAATATGGGTTAACATGGTGGCTGTGATTGAGAATCGAATGTTGGCTGAGCTTCCTGGTAGCCAAAGCAAAAACTCCTTCTATTCTGATAATTGATTCCTTGGGGGAGAAAAATTTTCCTGGGTTTAAGTTATAAAAGAAGTTTCTCAAGTGGACACTTATTTGATTGAAATAGTGGAGAATGTTCTCAGCAGATTAACAGCAAATGCCGACACAGTTTTCATTGTTCCTTGTAATGACCTCGAGTGAACATAGAAGGTATAAAAATATAGCTTAGTGAAGCCCCTTCCACAGTTGAAGGTAGGCAGATTTATAGACTTGCAGCATCAAATCTGATCCATGCATGAAACTTTATACCTTTTCTTTAAACTTTTTAAAATTGTTACTCAGTAGTTTCTTATGTTAGACGTCTGACCAGCCCTTCTCCAGCATCTGAGTCAGCCAGCCTGCCCCTAAGCATACAGCTCTTACTTAATAAGCATTCACCTTAGTGCACTTTGAACTCCATCCCATAACCTGCGGTCTTGTCTTTTGAGCTCTCATCCCCAGTATCCATCCATTGGCTCCACCTTAGTCATTGGGCCTCACACTTTTTCTGTCTTATTCTCCTGCTCACCTGGGAGGTACTCTCAGCTGCTCCAGAGCCTCGTGTTTTCTGTCCCTCATGGGGAAACCAGGCCGGGACTCTGCTCTCTCTGCAGACCCTGCTTCCCCTTTGCTGATGGGCTCCTCTAATGGGACCCAGATGTTGAGGCAGGAGAGCTGGACTCCAGATGTCCCTTCTTCAGGGAGGTGGCAGGGATACTGCAACTGCTTCGCTGCAGGCAGAGAAGGGGAGTGCCCTCGCTAGCCGCTGGCACAGGCCAGGCCGGACCTGCTGTTTTTCCACCTTTTCTTCCCTTCTTCCAACAAACACTCCTGATGCCTCCTCTATAGCATTGAGACAGCAGAATGAATCAGACTGAGTTCCCACTCCAGTAGTGGAGAGAGAAATGCCAACAGACGTTTGTCAACAGATGACAATTTAGTGTGATAAGGGCCCCTGGAGCACTGGGAAGGGACAGCTGACCTTACTAGACCTGTTGGTGGCTGTGGGGACAGAGCAAAGTGAGGGGTATGCCTTAAGATATGGCAGCTCTAAATATAAGACAGTCAATCACCTGTTTTGACAATAAGGTCACACTCCAGGTGTTTTGTGGCTATTTTTGCAACTAAAATGTATTGATAAATATTTTTAGAGATGCATGATTCAGATGTCCACATATAAGTTTATTTAGTTACATATTTTAGTTATTTATCTTTTAAATTTATTTTATTTCATTTTTGGCTGTGTTGGGTCTTCATTGCTGCGCGTGGGCTTTCTCTAGCTGTGGCGAGTGGGGGCTACTCTTCATTGAGGTGCGCGGGCTTCTCATTGCGGTGGCTTCTCTTGTGGAGCACGGGCTCTAGGCGCGCGGGCTTCAGTAGTTGTGGCGCATGGGCTTAGCCGCTCCGCAGCATGTGGGATCCTCCCGGACCAGGGCTCGAACCTGTGTCCCCTGCATCGGCAGGCAGATTCTTAACCACTGAGCCACCAGGGAAGTGCCTCTTTACATGAATCTTTGACTTCTATATAGTTGTCGCCATTAAAGCCACTTTTTGAGTCATCTAGTATAATTTCTGAAAGCATGTCATCTTCCTTCTCAGTCGAGAAAGAGCACTTTTGAAAAATCAGCTTTAATAAGGAATAACTTACATAAACTAAAATGCACACTTTTTTTTTTTTGCGGTACGCGGGCCTCTCACTGTTGTGGCCTCTCCCGTTGCGGAGCACAGGCTCCGGACGCACAGGCCCAGCGGCCATGGCTCACGGGCCCAGCCGCTCTGCGGCATGTGGGATCTTCCCGGACCGGGGCACGAACCCGTGTCCCCTGCATCGGCAGGCGGACTCTCAACCACTGCGCCACCAGGGAAGCCCAGAATGCACCCATTTTAAGTGTAAAGTTTGGTGAGCTTTGACAAATGTATACCCTCACGTGCCCTCCACCCAGTTGTCATAGAACATTTCCATCACCCCAAAAAGTGTTTGGGTGTCCTTTTACAGTCAATCTCCCCTGCCCCCAGCCGGCAATCACTGTCTACTTTCTGTCACTACAGATTAGTTATGTGAGTTCTAAAATTTCATGTGAATAGAATCATAGAGTATGTACCCTTGGGTCTGTGTTCAGCATAATGTTTTTGAGATTCATCTGTGTCGTTGCAGAGAAAATACTTTTTGAATCAGTATGTGATACTATCACTAGAAATTTTAACCTAAGCATAATTACCTTTTTGTATAACATTAAAACAGGTTTCTTTTCATTTCTCCCATAGATATATATTAATGATCTACATAATCACCACTTAAATTGTATTGCTTTAAAAATGTTACAGAAAATTTC